TGTACATAGTATATTCAGTATATATATATATATATATATATATATATATATATATATATATATATATATATATATATATATATATATATATATATATATATATATATATATATATATATATATATATATATATATATATATTTGTGTAATAAATGTATGTAGTAAGTACATACTGGTAACCTTTTTCACTCAAATCCTAATGAAACATCACAATTAGAATACGGTGGTTGCTGTTGAACCACATGTTGTATAAATAGTCACACCACCCAGACGAGGGAACACTCCCACCACGCTTCAGTGACGTCACTAGTATAATTGGTGTGCCAGTGAATTGGCCTTATTTAAAAAATCAGGATGGTTTAATTAATTCAGTGGGTAAGTGTCACATTTTGGGTGCTGGTCTTGTAAATAAAGACTCCAACTACTTTTTGATATTGAGGCGTCTTACTACTGCCGCTTGCGCCCTTCGACAAATGATATGGGTATGCTGGTACCTCATCCTTTGGTGGAAATATCATTGCCAATATTTAAATTTTTTGTCACAGAAACTTCTAACTGGTCTATTTCTATTCCTTAGTATGTGTACAGTAATAATCCTTCATAAAAGATAATAACTTTGAAAGATTTCAACAAAAAGATTAGAAAGAAGAAAAATGTGTATAAATATTTTGGTGACTGCATGCCTTACCACCACTTATTTTCACTTTTTATTCTGTAACTCTGTTACTTTTTAGATTATCTTTTGACTGACGCAATGTTTGGGTACAGCACAAAGAGAAATCAACAGCAAACTCTCACTTTTCACTTATATTTGCAAAAATGGCTTTTATTTATTATTTTTATTTGTTTATTTTTGAGGATTTCATGTGATATCCCAACCTTTTTAATGTAGGAAGGTATCATTTGAATAAATACTTGACAATATCTTAGCCACGAATAGCGCTCCGGAAAAAGTCTTTTCCGCAATTTCTGGTCATTCTGTGGGCTCCAAACAGAGTGAGTAACAGGCTCATTAAATAAATTTCAGGCAATCCTGAGAGTGTTAACGAGTTATTGTAATACCTCTTCACTATTTGTGATAAGAGCAGTATCATTTGCATAGTGTATATTGATATTACTGTACCATTAACTTTTAGTCCTCCATTATCACCTATAACTTCTCTCATTAAGAATTATAAATATATATTAAACAGTGTTGGAGATAGAGCACAGCTCTAGATGTGTCATAAAACTTTGAATTTCAAGTGTACTGTACAGTATAATGCCATTGTGGCTGAGCATAGAGGAATCAAGAATACCATATTGCCAGAACAAGTACACAAAAGATTGATATCATGGCATGTGGAGGCAAGGTGGACAGTATCCCAACATCACAGGAGTCAAGTCACCTTTTTTGGGCTAATCAGAGGTTGAGATTGGCAGTGGTACCCCACAACAAGTATTCCCCGTGTGAGAAATCATCAAATACTGTAGGTCACAATAGTTTCATACCATGCATTTGAAGTTTCAGACTTTTCCAACATCATAAATACTTGCGATTTTCTCACACACGCTTGGAAATGGCTGTAAAACAGTGGTGATGATGATGATGATGGTGGTGGTGACTTGTCCCACAACTTTCTATTACTATATAAAAAGGCTATACAGTATTATGATGCTCTGAAATCTGAAATTGTGAGGGTTTACACTATATACAGTAGGCTCTCGCCAATAACGTTTAATAGATGCCTGAAAAATGCCGTTATTAGCGAAAACGTTATTTGTGTGACATTAAAATACATGTAAAAAGGGTTTATTGGTGCTGCCGCCCCAAGAATTTCACCCAATTTTTCCCCTTAGAAACCCTCCTAACACTTTTTGTTCGCTGAAATAAAAAGAATTGTTATTCAATCATCAAAATAAAGAGTTTGAGTAATATAACACTTAGCTTGGGGGAGTTTTTGAGGTGCTTGGTGTGATGATTGTTCCGTATCTGAGGGCCGCTAAGACTTGCACTGTCTTTCATTCTACAAGCTAACCATTTCACAAGAAAATGCTCTGTTATCACTACCAACCTGTTTCTATCACTTTTATCATTCATAGTTCGCCTCGCATTTCCATCACTACCGAAATATTTCTTAGCCAGTGTAATACTCTTCTTGGTCTCCTCTAAGTTCCTCTTAATATTTCGCACTGTAGACTCAGAACAGTTCAATTTCCTCACAATATCAATGTTCCGTGCAACACTTTCAATGAGCACAACAATCTGTTCTTTAACCTTGACCGAGTAGGCACGCTTCTTGAGGCTTTGTCTCTTAGCTTTGGGGTCTTTTTTCTCATTCACTTTAAAAGTTCCGGGCATGCAGGCGGCAAATCACTCCCTCCACCACCTCCCCTAACCCCCAAAGGCAAAAATGCGGAAGCCATTGTTGATCACCAACCCTAGCAACCACTGGTTATAGAGGCGAAAATCTCATACGTGGGCGCAGCGCTGTATTCCACCGAGCGTGTGTGAGAGTGAAGCGGAGCGGACACCTACGTCATCAACATGGCGGCAAACAAACGCTATCATTGATGCGCTCGGATGCTTCCCGCGAAATCTCCATTATTCAAGAGAATCCAGACGTTATTATCGAAAATGGGTATCTATTGTAACTTACCGTTATTGTCGAAAACGTTATTGTGGAAGTCGTTATTGGCGGGAGCCTACTGTATACAGGTATCCCTCATTTAGCGATGGGGTTGCGTTTCAGAAAACCTAACTTTAAGCAAAATTCTCGCTAAACAAGGAAATAACAGCAGAGCATTGAGGGCGAACAACAGGTTCAAACGACTGAGTACAGTACAGTGATATCTCCGTTAGCCGGAACAATTGGTGTAGAGCACTTCCAGGAATGAGAGATTTCCGGGTAACGAGACAATTCTCTTAAAGTCGGAAAAAATACGTCATCCCTCGGAATTTTCTGGGTAACGGAAAATTTTTCTTAGAAGTTCCCGAAATTGCACCTAATTTTCATCTCTCAAACCCGGGAAAGACTCCTCTATCCCCGGAATTTTTTGGGGACTGGGAAATTTTCTTGGAATTTTTTTGAAAATATGCCCCTCAGAAAAACGTTACCAAAGCCGGAATTTTCCAGAAAATTCCGTCTTTGGGAACGATTTTCTGAGAAAATTTTAATTCCGTCTATCGGAATGTTCCTTTTAAGAGGGATTCTGGCTAACAGAGATATTATTGTACTCCCTAATAATAATATTAAACGAGTTTTTTATAAACGGTTTCAAAGTTAAAGGATCGATATATTAACATCAAACTTCAAATATAAATGATGAGGTTAAGAGTTAAACGATTCAATAAGCACAAGGTTAGCCTAATTTGAACATACAGTGGACCCACGAAGATCCGGACTAAAAGAGGGAGGGGGACCACCTGTCCGAAAAAGTCGATTGTCCGAACCTTCCGGTGAATGTACAGTCTCACCCAAAAGTTCGTTAACTCTCCCAGCCAGCTATTGCGCACTGCCTGCTTCAGATGTATGCACTTGAGTATGTTACTTCTTACCTTTAGATTCATTTGTATCGGTTTCATGTTCTGGTTGGTACTGAGACAGTTTCAAACATCTGAAACAGGCAGTGCTGCAATAGCTGCCTGGGAGAGTTAACAAACTTTTGGGTGAGACTGTACTGAATACAAAAATGATGAATGGTTATATAAAAAACATAAAAAATACAGTACATATTATCCTCACCACTGGGGTTAGTTATACAGACTTTTTCCTGTGAAAAAGCCATAATTTTGAGCAACATATTACTGTACTCACTTTGTACTCAAATGTGCTACACTAAAGGACTAAAATTGAATCTCTTTTCTAAACTATGTGATGTCTATATGGTGTACTCTAATTATTTGCTGTCTTGCAAGGATTCCAGCAATACAAGTTATATTCTGCTAAGTTTAGTCTGTGACATTTTATAAGATAAAAAACTTTAAGCCTAAAACTACCTTCACTTTGTTTTAGGAATGCTTCTTAGGGAGACTTCTTAGTCCAGAACCCCCAAATTTTTTTCTAAATCTTCCGAAATCCGGATTTACAGGGTCCGATCTTCGAGGGTTTACTGTATTTCAAGTTGCATATGCCAAAAATTGCTTTGATAAACAATCAAATTTATACATAGCATATCATAAAATACAATGGCACATTTTATGTGCAAAAAAATAAATAGCGACAAAATTGATAATAATGTATTGAAGAAAAACCACTCTACTTGGAAACATTTTTTGGTGAATAACTCACCCTTCTTAACACAGAATCTGCTACCCTTTGAGTAGGGTGAGTGATTCACCAGATCATGTATTCAGAATAAATGTTAGATGGAGTTTATACTAAGAAGAGTATGATTGAAAGTGAAGCTTTCTCTCAATTGTGTAAGAGCAGCAGCTACATAAGATAGAAGATGAGAAGGAAAGATATGTCTGGTGTATTATGTAATGAAATATATGATGAAGGGCTGTCTCCACAAGGTTTAAAGAACAAGGATCTTATCTTAACACAAATTATTTTATCATCATAGCCAACAGGTTTTATTACTATATTGTGTTCAGGATATTTAGTGCTTATTATAGCCATCAGGTATTTTGAGTAAAGATATGGACACCATATTTTTTTAAGGTTCTTGTAAGGGTCAACACTTATTTTATTGTGTACAGAGCTAATCACATTAATATTTTAAAATGGATTTTATTCTTACAAGTGAAAAAGTGTTATACATTTTAAGGGAAAGCAAAAGAGATATAAGTGTGAGTAGTACTTGAGTCTTTTGATGTAGGGTAGCTAATGTTATATATTATATATACATTTATTCATAAAATTTTGTATTAAAAGAAAGAAATGTTCATATATTTGACTACTAATATTGTAAAAAAATAAGTAAAAATTAAATTACTTATTATGATTTCTTCTTTAAGTAATAAATTCTGTTTAGAGATACTGTACTAATGCTTTGATTTTTATCTGATGCCGTAGTCATGAGGGACGTGTTGGTGAGCTTGAAGTAGAGAAGTTTAATCTGGTGGAAGATGTTGTCAGTCTACAAAACCAGGTATCTGCACTCAAGACGGAGATTGTTGAAGCCACTAAGAAAGTTAAAGAGTCTGAGGCAGATGTAGAAACTACGAGCATTCTCCGTGCAAAAGTGAATCTCCTGGAAACAGAGAAGCGGAGACTTGAAAACAAGATAGTTGATCTTCGGGTCCAGGTAGCATCAACAGAGATCAGCAATAGTGACTCAGGTATTGTGAATACAAAACTTTATGTAAAATATCTCAACTCCACAGTTTTATGAACTTTATACCACTTTTCTTATTCACTTTTCATTCTTTCTGATTGGGTTTGTATCACGGTTGATCTTGATGATCATCCTTGTTCTTTTTGTATATTTAGGGTTACAGGTACACCACCGATTTTCCGAAACTGATGGTCCGGTACCTCCTTTAGTCTGGAAAAAATTATGAGAGAGCACTTAACTTTCCTCCCTCTCTGCCATATTTCACTGGATTTACTGTTACTATTAGTGTTTACTGATATAATAGTGCTTAATAGTGATTAATCATGGCACTGTAGCCAGGTTAAACTTTTCACTGCAACCACCAGGCTACTGGGCCCAGCTGTGAGGTGTCATGGTTATGTTTCAAATTAATTTTTGGGTAGATATAGTAGTAACTTTCTTCATCTATTTTTACTCATTTACATGCATACACCATCCTAAATACATATTGTGAAAAGGAGTAAAAGAAATAATTGTCCTAAGGGTGAACCTGTACTCAAATGTACTAAGTTAATTACTAAAAATTTCATGTCTAGTGTAAACTATGGGATGTTTGCACTTGAATTAATCACCATCTTACAAGAATTACAGCAATGTAAGTTATATTCTGCTAAATCAATGCAGTGACATATTATAAGCACAAAATTTAAACTCCCTCTATTTGACAACTACACACTTTGTAATCTCCCCTCCCTGACAACTGTCAACACCTTACCTCCCCCTCCCCCTTCCTCCCAGCCAGGGTGAAGGTGGTTTTAGGCTTAATGTTTCTATCTTATAAAATGTCACTGAACTTGTAAACAGCGATCACAAAGAAGTATGATTCAAATTAGAATTTAATGGCAGTCACAAGGAAAATTCCATTAAAGTCCCAGATTTCAGAAGGGCAAACCTTGATAGGTTGAAAAGGCAGCTGAGAGAAAGGGGTATCACGTTTGGGGATGGATTACATGACCTCACACAATGTACCCACAGAGGGCGACCTCACTTTACCTGGAGACCTGACAACGATATCCTCACAAAATATGACGGTTGAGGATGACCTGATCACGAGATCTGAGGTTGACGAGTTCCACAACAATTTAAATAATTAGTTACTTAATGCACAAAGGCAGAACATACCATACAGAAAACTAAGATCAAACAACAATGACCCTAAATGGATAAATAATTATTTAAAAAATATTATTCGACAAAGGAAGGCTATAGGTAGGAGAATAAATCGTGGTGAAGTTTACCTCCGAGATTATTATAAGGTATTGGCCGGTAGGGTTAGACCGAGATAAGAGAAGCAAAGAGGAATAATGAACTGAAGTTAGCAAGGGAGGCGAAGTGAAACCCCAAGGGATTCTTTCAAATGTATGAAACTAAAACACGAGAAAAGATTGGACCAATACAGTCAGATACCGGCGAGCTAATTGATAATGACGGAGAAAGGAGCAGTAATCCGAATAGATATGCTTCAACAGTTTTCACCACCGAAAATTTAAACATGATACCCGAGGCACCGACTATATACAGAGATAGTGAAGAAAATGGGTTAAGCAAGATAGTAGTGACTAGTAACGATGTTAGTAAGCAAATAGACAAACTAAAGCCTAATAAGTCACCAGGTCCCGATGAGATATTTGCCAGAGTTTTAAAGGATTGTAAGGAAGAGCTTAGTATGCCCTTTGCAAATTTGTTTAACATGCCCTTTAAATCGGGTGTAGTACCAGAATCCTGGAGGATAGCGAATGTAATACCGATTTTCAAGAAGGGAGATAGATCACTATCCTCTAACTACCGTCCAATCAGTTTAACATCAATTGTAGGCAAATTACTGGAAGCTATAATTTCAAACTTTATTCGAAATCACCTGGAGAAGCGCAAGTTGACGAATGATTCCCAACATGGCTTCACAAGCGGTCATTCATGTCTAACTAATCTACAGTTTCTCCTCGACTTACAACAACCTGGACATACGGCCTTGGGCGTATAAAATATTTTTCACATTACGTATTTTCGAGTCCTGACGTAGTGATCGCGCTGTAATTCCCTTTAAAATAGCTGGCGAGCGTAAAAGTGAGAGTTCTCGTGGTGCTCAGAAGAAAAAGAGACACCCAATTTAGAATTTCTATGTATTATTTTCGCCTTTTCGACTTATGAGCTGGTCGTCGGGACGGAACCCTGTCGTAAGTCGAGGAGAGACTGTATTAACATTCTTTTTAGTTGTTTTTGAATCAGTGGACGACGGGCACGACTATGATGTGGTATATCTTTACTTTAGCAAAGCCTTCGACAGAGTCCCCCACAAAAGACTAATAAGAAAAGTGGAGGCTCATGGCATTGGAGGAGATATTCTAAAATGGATTAGGGCGCGGTTACGGGACAAGAAACAGCGAGTGAGCATTAACGATAGTAAATCCGATTGGAGTAATATCACTAGTTGAGTACCCCAAGGCTCATTATTGTTTATTATATATATATAAACAACATAGATGTAGGCATAGACAGCAACATAAGTACATTTGCTGATGACACTGACGAGGACTCCACAAAACTACAGGAAGATCTAAACAAATTTTTCGAATGGTCTGAAAATTTCCAGATGAAATTCAATGTAGACAAATGTAAAGTACTTAGTCTAGGAGATGTAAGTAGAGAAACCAGATACCAGATGAACAACGATGTTATGGAGAAATCCGACTGTGAAAAAGATTAATCTCGGGCATTAGCAACCTTGAGTACAGAGACAGGTTAAAGCATCTTAATTTGTACTCCCTTGAGACACGTAGAGTGAGGGGCGATATGATCGAGGTGTATAAATGGAAGTCACGGCTGAACAAAGGGGACATTACAAGGTACAGTGATCCCTTGATTACCGAGCACAATTCATTCCAGAAGCTTGCTCGTTAACCGAAACCATTGTTTCAGTAGGTTTTCGGTAATTGGTTCCAGCTCACCGAAAATTGCCTAAATTAAAAAAAAAAGGTAGAAAAGTACACTTACTTTGAGGTGTGTATGTAGAAGGCTCCTGGATGATGATGCTGATGTGAATTTGAAGTGGGAGGTGGAGGAGGAGAAGGGAGAAGAGAAGGAAGTGGAGGTGGAGGAGAAGCATTTACTGCTTCGTGGAAGGTGAGTCACCTTCCATGAAAATGTCAGGAACCTCTGGACTGACAAATTCTCCACCAGGAACATCCTCTCTCCTTGAAATGGAAGGCTGAGGGCTAGCATCTTGTTCCCGCTGCCTTTTACTGAAGAAACTGTCAATTTTTGTCTGTGGGGCATCTCTCCTCCTCATCATTAACTGATGTTTGAAGGAGACCACTGTGTCCTCAACATGACACAAAGCTAGTTCAGATTTTTCCACATCTGGGTGCCTTGAAGCCAGTTTCCTGAACTTCTCCCAGTGGTGAACAACATCTTTCAACTCTGAAGTTGACATATGGTCATCACTTTCCGTTTCCTCCTCACCACTGTCAGCCTCTAACATCTCATCCAGTTGCTGCAAGTCATCTGGAGTAAGTTCCTGTTCATGAGACATCACAAGCTCTTCGACATCATCCTCCTCCACTTCAAGGTCCAATGACTGACCAATGGACACAATCTCCTGGTGCAACTCTGTTTCATCCTCAAATCCCTCAAAATCATGGACTACTGATGGCCACAGTGCTTTCCATGAAGAATTGAGGGATCTAGTGGAGACTTCTTGCCATGATGACACAATCAATTTTACAGTCTCCGGGATGTTGAATTGTGTCTTCCAGAACTGTTTCAGTGTTAGTTCGGGATCATTGGAGTTGCCTGATGACACCTCCTGAACATTTTCTTCATGTACAGCTTCTTGAAGTTGCTGATCACATTCTGGTCCATTGGCTGTATGATTGATGTAGTGTTCGGAGGCAAAAACAACACTTTCACAAAGTCAAATTGAGACTCCAAAGTTCTGAAAAGTTGAGGGTCATGACCAGGGGCATTATCCATGAGGAGAAGAGCCTTTAAAGGGAGTTTATTGGTGGTTAGGTTGCTCTTCACAGAAGGGCAAAACACATCAACAGCCCATTCATTAAAGAGCTGTCTTGTCACCCATGCCTTACGATTGGATTTCCAATAAACTCCAAGCCGTCTTCTTACCACTTTCTGTTGCTTGAACACCCTGAGGTTCTGAGAGTGGTAGACAAGCATAGGCTTCAATCGGAAATCCCCTGAAGCATTGGCACCAAGCAATAGAGTGAGACGGTCTTTCATGGGTTTATGCCCAGGCAAAGAGGCTTCATCTCTGGTGATTGAATGTTCTTTTGGGCATCTTTTTCCAAAACAGCCTAGTTTCGTCCACATTGAACACTTGCTGTGGAAGATAATTTTCTTCATCCATCAGTTCTTTAAACTCCACTAAAAATTTGCTGCCCCTTCCTTATCAGCACTAGCAGCCTCACCATGCCTAACTACACTAAATATGTCACTTCTTTTCTTAAATTTTTTGAACCAGCCTTTGCTGGCCCTAAAATCTTCAAATTCTGTGCCTGAAGAATCAGGTTGATTTGTCTTTAAATGTTCGTATATCTCCCTGGCTCTTTCACAAATAAATTCAGTAGAAACTGAATCACCTTTCATCTGTTTTCCCTAATCCAGATGAGAAGTAGCCTCTCTGTTTCTGCAATTAGGGATCTACATTTAAACACTCTGGTAGATTTATCTCTCACTTTCACTTCTTTAAATTTTTCTTTCTGTGCAAGAATTGTCGACACAGTTGATGTCGACATGCCATATTCTTTGCATAGCACATTTCTTCTAATGCCTTCTTCATGTTTTTTAATAATTTCCTGCTTAACTTGGATTGAAATCGCTTTTCTTGATCTCTTGGGACCCATGCTGGATTCAAACACAATTTCAACACGTGATATTTTATGTTTAATTGCTGTAAATAAAGAATATTTTCTTTAAATTAACACTACACTGCGCTATATATTGTCAATATGTAAAATAAATTTCAAAATGACCAATAATTTGCTTGGAAACACACAAAAAAAGCGTTTAGTTGAAGAGAGTCTCAAGCAAGATGTTACTTCCACTGAAAAGACACAGAGACTGACACCTGTTTGGTGTGTTGACAGGCTGTTTGGCGCGCATAAAACTAGTTTCCTGTAGTTCAATTATGTTCAATAATTGTTAAAATGACGAAAAAATTTAATATTAACCTTAAAATTATTGAATAGTACAACCTTCTTGATATTTACTCAAATGGTAACGAATTTAAGCCCTATAACCGATTACTGTATTGGCAGACTAATACTACAGCTGGTGAGCAGGCAAAAACATGTTGGGAAAAATTCGTAAGGAATTCGTTAACCGAATTGAATATTCTTATGGAAGGTAATTCGTTAACCGAAATTTCATTAACTGAGGCGTTCATTAACCGAGGGATTACTGTACTTAACTTTTATCTTCTTCTTTTTTTTACTCCATTACATGCACACGCAAGCCTCCATCCAAAAAAATTAAATAAAATTTGAAACAATTATTATAAGGCTGAGGGGGGAGTTATGTCATTTTTGAACTTGTAATTTCAGGTATATATATGTAACTTCCTTTTTTTTTTTTTTTACTTGGTTATATGCACAGACAACCCTACATACATATTGTGCAAAAATCAATTAAAAAATACATATCATAAGGTCAAACACATAAAGGGAATAATTATTTGTTTGCACTCATGTTAGAGGCTCAGCAGGGGAGCGGGAGGAGGGCGTAGAGTGTGGGTAGTAGGGGGGGAGGTGTTGCTAAGGATTTCAGCAGAGGTTGTGTCACTACTGGTCTATGTTGCTATGGCAAAGCAGCCAGTGTCTACGCAAATGGCTGTTGTGTTAAACTTTCATTTAACTTTTCTTGAATGGCTTTAGCTGCACTTTTTAAGCAAGATTTTATACAAATGTTGTTTGAAATAACACAATTATTAATTAACATAAGAAAGTAGGTGGTATAGTTTATGAATGCTGGGAAGGAGGTATTGTACAGGGATTTGTGACTTGGCTTCAACCTTTTGACTTACCTTCTAGGCCATTACTTTACATCTGTGATAATATTCCTTATTTTATTTATTTATTTATTTATTTTTGCTTGTTTTCAGTATTTTATATTAGTTTTGTATTTGTAATGGTATCGCAAGACTCGTCACTGTACCCACACAACCCCAAGCCCTCTCCCTACCACTCCATGGAAAGCTGTGGGCTAATTTATGGTTATTTTTCAACCTTTTAATTTCTGATAGATACACATAATTTTCTTCTCCTGTTTTTTTATTATGTTACATGCACACTCATTCTTACATACAGAATGTGCACACAAACAATTATGCTATGGTCAAAAACACAAAAGTGAATAAACTTTCTCCGTGTGTTAAGAGTTCACACTAAACGGGAGAGGGGGAAACGACAGCTTCCAACTGTTCTTAGCTGTCTTCCGTGTGTAGTGAAACTATTTACAAATTGCATCGTCCAGCAGCCAGATTGAAAACGTTACAATATTTTTTGTTTTAACTTATTTATTGGTGTGTTATTTATTATTTTAAGAAACTATCCTTATGTCTACAGGAGGACTGGAATATGTTACCACTATTTCCAGCACCTGCTTTATTTTTATTTTGTATTTCAGATAATTTTGTAAAAGAAATGAAGGAAGAGAGAGATCAGTTTGAGGGACAAGTCAATTTCCTCAACTCTGTAATTGTAGATATGCAGAGAAAAAATGATGAACTTAAGTCCCGTATTGAGATCTTTGAGCTTGGGAATGTATCTGATGACACCAAGGCCAATATGTAAGTGTTTATCGCCATGTTTATAATAACTTAGGTACTGTATATAGTACTCAAGAGTTGCTGTTGTTACCTAATCTTACAAAGTCTATATTTCTCTCACTTTCTAAACTTCTCTTAAATTAAGTTGTGCCTAATTTTTTCTGTAGTCTTAATAATATTTATTGTTTATGTTTTTTGTTATGATTTTGTTTTTTGATCGACTGAAGATTACAATAGTGCGAACATTCTACATATAGTACAGCATAGTTTTCTTTCTTTTGCTGACGCCACTCCTCGACATACGACAGGGTTAGGGACCCAAATCCAGGTCGTAAGTCGAAAATGCGAAGATAATACAGTACATAGAAAATCTAAAATGGGTGTCTCTTTTTCTTCTCAGCACCACAAAACTCTCACTTTTAAGCTTGCCAGCCATTTTAAAGGGAATTACAAACGAAAATTTTGTCAATACACAGCGCAATCACTAACGTCGGGACTCGAAAATACGTAATTTGAAAAAATTTTGGTACGACTGTGGCGGTCGTATGTCCCGGTGGTCGTAATTCGAGGAGTGGCTGTATTTTATATATATATATATATATATATATATATATATATATATATATATATATATATATATATATATATATATATATATATATATATATATATATATATATATATATATATATATATATATATATATATATATATATATATATATATATATATATATATATATATATATATATATATACAGTCATGCTCCGGTTAACGTCCTAGATACGTTCTTGGAAACGTGGCATTAACCGAAATGGACGTTGTCCGATCATCACATAAACTTTTTATTTATACTTACATGTATGTGAAATACTTTATACGTACATATACACTTTTACTCTTAAATCACTACTGTAATGTGATACAAGTGATTAATTTTTATCTCTTGTGCAAAATATATGACATTTATATTAAAATTATTCACTGTTATACAAGGATTCCAGCAACGCCGAGCAGATGGGGGAGAGAGAGGGTGGGAGCGAGCGAGGGGGCGTAGGGGGAGGGGAGGTAGTACGTTTGACAGTTGGCACAGGCCCAGGTCTAATGCGTGTATATTTATCAGTTCTTAGGTGACTAAGCTTCTCTCTTATAAAAAGCCAGTGAAATGACCTGGGTGAATATAATTAACATAGCTGGGATTCTTGTAACACACTGATTAATTTGAATATAATCATGCTATAATATGCACTAGACAAAACAATGATAGTACCGTGATCAAATTAGTACATGTGCACTCCAGCTTTGCACTAAGGTCATGTATTTCCATTACGTTTCTTTTAGTATGGTGTGTGCATGTAAATGGATGAAAATAAATAAAGAAATCTATGTAAATCTACCCAAAAATACAGTTGAAAAACTTTTTTTTATAAAATGTACTACAGTATTGTACACTAATGTACTACATTTTTTATATCTTGAGCAAAATATATGATGCTTATATTCAAATTAATCTCTGTCTTGCAAGGATTTCAGCAATGCAAATTATATTATCCTAACTTTAGTCTGAGATATTATATAAAATAAACATAAAGAAATCACCAATCTTTTGTCTGGGAACACAAGGAGGGGGGGGGGTGAAAGAATGTCTGGCATTTGTTTGTTTATTTATTTGAGATAAGATTTGACAGTTGGTGCTGAAGGCCTGCCTGCGTGTTTATTTATCATTACTTAAGAGTGACTAAGCTCTTCTCATAATTTGCCACCCAAACGACCTGGGTGAATATAACTTACATTGGAGGGATTTTTGTAAGATAGTAATTTATTTGAATACCTGTATAAACAAGCTATATTCGCAATAGACATAACAATTTTAGTACCGTAATCATTTAGTACATGTACAGTCATCCTAATTCTGTTGGTTGTTGCACTTGTGAGTACGTTACCCCCCTCCCCCCCCCACTATTATAATGCTCCTAGATCTTCCTTTTTCACACCTCAGTGACCCTGAGTTTTTACTGTTCCTCAATCAGTATCAATGTCCCCACAATAATGATACTAGTGTCATTCCCTTAGATGTGCTAGATTGTATGTCGACACAATACTCCCTCATATCGATCCTGATGTCTTTCTACAAAACTCACTGGGTTACACCAACCCAAACTGTAACTATTACTTTCCTGACTCCCCCGAGTTTAGTTCTAGTCTCCTACTACCTCATTCCTTCTCCTTGATCAGCCATAACATCAGCAGTATTCCCCTTCATCTAGATACCTATTTGGATCAGTGTATATCTACTATCTAGTTCTCGTACGTAAATACTACAAACCAGTTGTACTTATGTTGAATTCTTAAAATAATTGACCTTATGGGACCTCGCTCGTATCAGCAAATGTTTGTAAGTCGGGGACCCCCTGTGTCGAAAAATATATGGTCAAATTTGCCGCGTTGTGAGAGGTTTGAACAATAGACCACGTTCTTAGTAGACTTTATTCTTACAGCGTCAGCTGGTGACTGGCAACCGGGCGCTGCCACAGACAAGCTCCCACCTCAACTTGGGAAAACATATCGTATGATGGTACAATCTTACATCCCCAGTTAAAAGGAAATGACAATGCACATTTGAACTAACAAAAGGAAAACAATGCATTCATAAAAACAAACAATAATGCAAGAAAAACCAGCCAAACAAAGAAAAAAAAACACCTCTGAACTAATTTTACACCACGTAGTCCGCCAACCAGCCCGGGGGCCTGCAGCCTCTCCTTGGGCCTGGCCGTGCCCGACTGGGGAGGGGCCGGGGGTGCGAGCGAGGGCGAGGGTACTGAGGGCACCACAGATGGGGGGCCAGGAGGCCTAGCTTGGTGTACCACCGGAGTAGTAGGCACAGGCGTGGCGCCGTTTCGCAGGTGGCGTCTGTTGTGGATGGACACCCTGCCACTGCCAATCAACCTGACGACATACTGCCTGTGAAGGCGGGCTTCCACCACTATACCTGTCCTGTCCCAGAGCTTGGTAGCTGCGTCCTGCACACGCACCTGCGTGCCCACGACTAGGGGAGCCAGCTGGCGGGACACCTCCCCCCTGTGACAGAAGGACCCCGTCCAGGGTTTCGGCAAAGCGCACCTCCCTCATACAAAGTGCCCACCGCCAGTGCTGGTCCACCTTTTAGTGCTGTCTGGCCATGGGAACGCCGTCACGGAGCTGGCGGCCGGTGGCAAGTTGGGCGGGCGACTTGTTCACCCCCGCAGAGGCGTGTTCAGGTACTGGAGGAGGGCCTGGGATGTCCTATCGCAGTCCAGGCTACCCCCGGGCCCAGCGTTATCCCTGAGGAGCCTCTTGGCGGCCTTGACCCCAGCCTCTGCCTTGCCATTGGAATGGGGGAAGTGGGCCGACGAGAGGCGCACCTCGACCCCCCATGACTTGAAGAAATCTGTCATCTCAAGGCTGGCAAGGTTGGTACCTCCATCCGTGGAGATCTGCTCAGGTGCCCCCCACCTCGTGAAGTAGGCCTGCAGACAGGCTATGATTTTTCCAGAGGTGGCCTCGCTGGGGAAGTGGGCGATCTCCGTCAGACAGCTTGCATTGAGGCGTTGGAAGTTTACAGTGCGCCTGGGCTGACCGTTTTTCTTGGCCACCACGACCATCCTGGCGCACCACTCTGTAGCCTCACCAGCAGGCACTGGCTGGATGACGCCTCTCCTGACGTCCTCCTCCAGCTGGTCCTTCACCTCCGCTTCCCAGTGTTTCGGAACGGGAGCAGGTGTGTGACAGACGTAGGGGGTTGTGCCGGGCGTCAGGTGGATACGGTGAAGGGGACCAGTCATGACTGGCAGTGGGGACCTGCTGGTGTTGAATGTGGTCGATGAAAAGTGCGTGAGCAGCCATGCCTCCAACCTGGCAACATTCTCCTCCAAAGGAGGCAAGGGTATCTCAACTGGCCTCGGCAGTGTGCCGCTCCCCTCCATCGCCCACGGCAGCCACAGCACGTCTATGGAGCGGGAAGTCGACAGGCACCAAGTTGAGGCACTTGCAGGCCTCCTATGACAGGTAGAGGGCCTTGGCTCTCTGCATGAAGTAGACCTACTGGACGGTGGACCCCTCGCCCACACTGAGGCGGCAGGGGGCGGACCCCAGACACTTGAGCTGTTTGTTCGCCACGTCCCTCAGGCCATTACGGGCCCGAAGTTGCCCCGGACACAAACCGATGTCCCGGAGCAGGGATGGCCCTACCACACACACCATAGCACCCGTGTCAGCTACAGCCAGCACAGGGGTGGCGGGGGAATTGCCCCCGGCCTGGGTCACGAACACTTGAAACCTGGGGTGGCAGGATAGCTGGGCTGTTGCCACTGTGACAGCACCTGACACATCCACAGAAGCACTTAGGACTGACTTACTCCTACAACAACTTTTTAAAGTGACCAACCTTAGAGCAATTGCGACATGTGGCCCCACTTGCAGGGCAGTTACTTCTACCAGAGGCATGTGACATGCCACAGTTCCCACAGTGCGCGCGACTGGGGTGTCCAGGTCGGGCGGCAGCTACCTCAGACTCACCGGTGACGTCATCACCAACCACCGCTGCCTCCGTGGCTGTTCCCACCACTGCCTGGCCAGACGTACGACACAATTCACCAGTATCTCTCACTGCTGCCTCAAATAACATACATTCGTTTCTAAGCACTTCAACACTATTATAACTCGAGTACCCCTGGAAAATTTCCCTTTTCAACACTGGGTTACTCAGGCCCACCATAACTTTACGTAATAGCATGTACTCAGAGAGATCGTTATCACAGGTGGGACATTTAAATTCACACTCCACTGTCTCTGCGAAGCAGCGTTGAAAATACCTTTTCATGGGCTCCTCTTCACATTGTTTGCTGTTGAAAAACTAGTTCCATTTCACAGCTTGGTTTGACGATTGAAGAACCATTCCACTGATGACATCCAGGGCTTCCTTGGGCGAGAGCTGCTCCCACTGACCGCTGGGGTATCTCAAGTCAATCACCCTTTGGAGTGCAGGGACGCAGTTCAGGCGAATGTGGAGTGTGGCCACCAGTTGTTACCACCCGTTCAACAGCACCCACGACTCCATGGACAGCCTCCATGTCCTAAACGCTGCTGCTGGCATTTCTGCCTCACACTTCTCTGGAGCGACAGCTGCTGAGGGCTTCATGACCGGCATAGAAGCATGACCACCGCCAGTAGCTAGAGACGCCATCTGAGCCATCAATGCACTCATGGTCTGCTGCTGGGCTTGTTTGGGCCGGGGTTTGATATCAAAGGATCTCACTTGTTAACACTTGCCTGAATGAGTGTAGAGTAGTCGCTGGTACCTTTGATGAAGCTGGGTGAGATAATAGGTAGTCTCACGGCGTGTCACCTTTGATACAGTCGTAGTTTTGAGTCGTCCAAGCCCACCTGGGTTACACTTGTAATTATCTTAGCTTGTAAGTATACACAAGTGAACACAGGTTCTATTATCTTCATTTGTGGTTCCCTGGTTTAATGTAAACACACGTGGTGATTTTCTAGTTATATTGGATGCTCTGGTAGTTACAGAATTGTTTGTTGACAGACTACTGAGCATTAGCTATTAGCTTGTAATTAGCTGATAAAATTAGAGAGAGATACAGCCTTGGGAGCTATGCTCACACACGTCTCTTTGGTACGGTGTCTGGCTGTGAACTGGTGTACTGTGTGAAACTGTGAACTAGGCGAACCTCTCTCTGTCTGCTTGTAAGGGGGTATGTAATCTATACGTCAACACAGAGATAAGAGGCTACACTCCACAGGCCTACTCTCATGGAGGCCTGGGGACATATATTTATGGGTTGTAACCTGAATCTGTGTGAAACTACAAATGTTTATGTGTGCTGTCCACCCTAGGAGGTGTGACAGAACAAATGCTTATGTAGCTTTATGCTCAATAGTCTGGGTGATAGAATGTATATAATGAATATATGTCCTTAGCCCATATTTACATAATACTGATTGATAGGGGTTAGAACAGGCGTGAGTGGTGTTCCCCGCCGGTGTAGAGATGCCCTGGCGTCCCATTGAGGGCGTCGAGAATCGTGGACGTGTGGGGGCCGTGTTGGCGTTCTCGTCAGGGCTGTAATGGCGTGTTAGGCACCGGCATCCTACTCACTGCCCCATGTGAGAGGTTTGAATGATAGACCACGTTCTTTGAAGACTTTATTCTTACAGCGTCATCTGGTGACTGGCAACCGGGCGCTGCCACAGACAAGCTCCCACCTCAACATGGGAAAACATATCGTACAATGGTACAATCTTACACGCGTGGAAACACATCCCTTCTATTTACATTAATTCTTATGGGGAAAATTGCCCAGGTATTTGTAGTTTCATTATTTGCAATGATTTTTAATAACTCATTCTTTGCAATAACCAGGGTATTCCTGCTTTATGTACAATATATAGTGTTTACTAAAGCCTTTTTGGAACAGTGTATTTTTTTACCTCTGGAACTTCACTAATTATTTCCATTCAAACTATTTAAACTATTATTTGCGATTTAATAATTCACGGTGTCTTCTGGTACCTAACCAGTGAAATGGTTGAGACTTACAGTACAGCTTGCCCTTCAAATTCGCGGGGGTTAGGTTCTCAAAATGGCCGCTAATCACTAAATCTGCGAATAACATTTGCTGACCGGGAGGGAGGGGGTACATTTGTATTTTTGTACAAAGAAATGTACGTATATTCCCTTTATGTGTTTGCCCTTAGGACAATTATTTATTTTACCTCTATTGTATATATGTGTGTGTCTACACACACACACACACACACACACACACACACACACACACACACATATACAGTGCAGGAAAAGAAATTATTGTCTCTAGAATGAATGGCTCCCTGTCCCATCCGCGAAAATGCCGGCAACTTTAAAACTACCTGCAGATATTCTTGGGTACATCCAGGGTGTCATCCACAAATAATATAGGACTGCAAAATAAAAATCCACAAATTATCTGGGCGTTCTGTGCTAGATTTCCTATTTCTATTTATTTGCATGTGTGATTAAATCACCTTTGATTCACCCTTTACAGCCTGGGTGACATTCCTCTACATTCACTAAGGCGACCCTGGGTGACGGTCCTCAAAGTTCATAATTTTTGTGGCATAATTTGAATGTCTAGGTGGGACCGTATTGCATATTTGTTCAATTGGCAACTTAACTCGTGTGTAATTTTTTACTCAAAACTTGTGCCTTGTGGTCAGTTACCCGCCAACTATCATGAGGGATGCACGTCCTTCGACCTCTGTTCATTAATCTGTAGCTGCCATTTTTATTGCTATAATAAACAATAAAATTGATACATAGCATATCATAAAATACAAAAGCACATATTTTGTGTACAAAAATAGCTCCTTCCATGTTCAAATCATCCTCTGAGCAATGGACACAGTTCAGGCAGTCAACCAGCTGAGTCACAGACGTGCGGCTGCCACGCTAGTGTGTATGCCGTGATGTTATTTCAGGAGGGATCACAGTCACATATTTATAGTCCAGTAGCCCATCGCCTCAACACACACTCACTTCGCACATTTGTTCTTAATTTTTCTTATTTTATAGTTTTATATAAAATAGTCCATATTCTAAGCCACATTAGAGTTTCATTACAGGTAACAATATACGAGGCTGGTTGGTCTATCACATAGTTATAACCAAGGCCTTGGCCATAACTGCCTCCACGCACTTTCACTTTCTACACATATTGTACACACCCATGCTCTTTATTTTCTTGTTTTATATTATATTTTGTTTATATCTAAGCAAAATTTTTGTATTGTAATTATTTTTCAACAACTTTTTTATTGATTTATTACAAGTAACAACAGATGCGGAAGCCTGGCAGGCGAGTTAGACATGCAGTTCTAGCCCACCACCTTCACACATGTTCACATACTACACATGCACACCCTTGCTCTTCATTTATCTTATTTTATAGTTTTATGTTATATTTTCTTTAATTTCTAAGTCACATCTTCTATATAGAGTGGAATATTTTTTATATAGTATTTTGGATGACCTATGTCCGCGTGGGGGCACCAGCACATTTTACGTAGCCTGGGCTTTTCAGGTTAAGTAGATTGCCATCTTTGCAGATCATTAACCATGGGATTGAATTACAATTAGCAAGTTGGTAATCATTTATTGATGATCAACCATTATATTAAAATTATACCCATTGTCTTATGCCTTAAAATAAAAGTATCAAAACTCTATATATGCTGTTAAGGATTGGTCCATGCTATCCTACTTGGCCTTGGGAGTGAACTTTGGAGATATAAATTATAAATGCAGAGTATCACTGCTGATCAAGGTTGTCACCCTTAGAAATGCTACGTTTAAAAAAAAAATAGTAATTAGTTTACTTTTTAACAGGAATGGAATCAGTCCCGCTGGGCGTCATGTAGTGGCACCGAGGATGTACTGTGATATATGTGACTGCTTTGATGCCCATGATACAGAGGATTGTCCAAAACAGGCTTCTTCAGACTCTCCTCCTCCTTCTCAACACCATGGACAGAGAGGTTCCACCAGATCCTACTGTGATACTTGTGAAGGTATGTTTAAATAGAGAATAATATTTTGATTGTCTCAATTACAGGGTGATTGAGAGAGATGGTGACTTGTCTCAATTACAGGGTGATTGAGAGAGATGGTGACTTGATTCAATTACAGGGTGATTGAGAGAGATGGTGACTTGTCTCAATTACAGGGTGATTGAGAGAGATGGTGACTTGATTCAATTACAGGGTGATTGAGAGAGATGGTGACTTGTTTTAAATCTCTTCTTCTTTACTTACTTACTTACTTTGCACATGCATAATTGTTTTCTCCAAGCACTTTGGCTAACAACCATCATATGTAGAAAACCTCTTGAAATAATTGCTGAAGAACTCTGATTGTTGATGTGGGACATAGTGAAAGCTTGCCATAAGATATGAAAATACTGTATATGCAAAGAACATAGTAAAACTATGGAAACGTGAACAGTAAGACATTTCAGATAGAAAAATAAGTTTGTAAGTTTGTTTACACACAATCAAAAAATTATCTGTGCACATTGGGTCCAATGATCAATACACCCATGCCACAATGTAACCACCAACAAGAACCACACTACACATTGTTCGCAAAATTAGTCTACTTTTTGTGAATGTGCATATAATAACAATACTGTTCAGTAATGTAGTTACTATGGATAAAACAAGGAAATGTCACTAACAAGCAATATATGGTATTTTGCAATAGCCCTCATCTGTAATGACAGATTATTTCACGCAAAATGTGTACAGATGCATTTTTAATCGAGTATACATAAAGCCTCAGGAACGCTGGTTGCCGGTCTCTATGCTCGCCAAAGCAATGCAGCCTAGCTTGGATGCTGCTTCTGTCCTTCCCCTAGCAACAGGACTGCCTCGCTCCTCTCCCCCATCCCGTTTCTCTACTCAGCCATACTCGGCCAGCTAACTCTCGCACACAAAAGTTTTTTATTCCCTTTGTGTTTTTAGCCTTATGATAATTTTTTTTTTCCATGTTCCAATATGTTGGATTTTATGTACATGTAACTGAGTAAGAAAAATAGAGAAAGCTACAAACATCTACCCAAAATTATGAGTGGAAAAATAACCATAACATAGCTCACAGGTTGGCTGGTAGCAAGAGGGCTAGGGAAATGCAGCTTCAGTACAGTGATGAATCAAACTTGGCAACAGTGCCACCAGTGATGTTAACAGTAACAAAAAAAAAATCTGTAACTCTTCATTTATATTCGTTTTTTGTATATATCTAGTGGCATATACCGTATTGTGAATGAGGTTCTGGTCTTCATGTATCAACATAAATAATTTAAATGTACGACAGACTAGCTCAGGATAAAGGAGCTTACTGGTAGCCCACGTAAATGTATGAATTTTAACCCCTCAAAAATATTTTGAGTACACTATACCCTCATTAATTTGGCAAAAAGGGCGGGGGGGGGGGGGCCTCTTGGACACTTGAATTACCGAGAGAAACGAATTAACTGAGTTTGAAATATTTTGACATTCAACAATTTCTAAATTTTGGTGTTCAGTTATTCGTTTGTTTTCTGTTTAATTTTTGCACCTTATTCAGATTGTACCAAATATTGTTTCTCATTATTCCAACCATCAAACATACTCAGTTACCATGCCTTGACTGCCATATAAAATATTCTATTGGTAATTAGTGTGCAAACATAAATATTTTTTAAATGTACAGTCGGGGTCAAAAGTCTTGAACACTTAGTAATATCTGGCATCTACTTGTGAGTTATACATATATGATTGGGATATACTAATAACACTACTTGTCATCACATATTATGCCTGAACCATAAAATGGGATAAAACTCTCCTTAATACCTAAGATCTTCAGGTACTTACATGCCAAATACTGTCAAGTGTTCAAGATTTTTGACCCCAACTGTACATTATATACAGCTATAATTAAAGTAAATAATACGGTAATAAATAAATGTAACACTTACATTACGAGGTGAGCTGATAATATGTACAGTAGATGATATTCCGAAAGTGTAATAATCACACTGGTAAATAAGGTAAAAACTCACATTGGAGAAATAAAAGAAAATCCTCGAGCTGCTTTACTAGGACCCTCTTCAGCTACATTATATCTCGGCCTACAAGACGGAATTTGAACAAAAAAAATCAGCAAAAAGTTAGGGGGTCGTCTTAAGCACCAGAGATAAAATTCTTACCTCTTAAATATTGCGGTTTAGCATGTCAAGAGTGGTGATGGAAACATGGTAAACCACTCACAAGGTCCTACCACTAATTATTTTATACTGAAACTTACGTTTGGGAAGCTGGATTAAAATGAAGATTACCGGTATATTAAAATAATAAAAATGTGTTATAAACCTGTCTAACATACCATAAAAGAACAATATACCCCGGTAATAAACACAGCTGCTATCATCACCCCCCCCTCCCCCACCCCCATTTGCCAGTGACAAGAAAGGGAAAGTGACCTTGACTGTGACCGCCTGTGGCTATTTTTAGCCGTCCTTGTGTTCGGAGGTGGTCAGTAATGCATATCTGTATATTTACTGATCATAATACTTATCTCCTATAAATAATTAATTTAAATTTTATTTTTTTACAAAGAATATTCAGTAAATGACTGCATTAATTCTTGAAACTACCGACAGTGGTAAATTTAGGATATAAATGATGAACAGAAGTCACGTCATGGATTCGGAGTTTGGTCCTTAATGATCACCATAAATTTCTGGTCAACTTCACCTACCAGGTATAATGGTAGCCTCCTTTTTTTGCAAAACAAGTACAGTATATAAATTAAAGATAATACTTGCAGTGTGTTTAATGTATTACAGTATATTATAAATAAATAAATAAACAAATAAATCGGCAAATCTATTTCAAGTAAATGGAAATATTTTACTCACACCAACATTAGTTCTAGTTAAATAACTGACGCTTAAGTGAGTCACAAGTGTACACCAGCCGGTAAAATTTGATGCCAATACTTGAAGTGAATTGGCATTATTTTAAATGACCAACCATAAATAAATGGAAAAAAGATCAGAGGTGAGAAACATCATATTGTAGGTATGTTGTGTTGTCAAAGGAAGAGAAACAATTGAAACTGCAATTGTGTGTAAATGAGGCAGAAAGATAAATCAGCAACGTAAGACTTGGTCACTTTTTTCGTGATGCCATATGGAAGTAGGGTCTACCATTAGACAATACTGTACATTATGCTTCCAATATCTTCCCAGGCAGTAGAATCTCCCTGTTTGGTAGCTGCCTAAAACTTTAGTAATATTACTTTGATACAACATGATAAATTAGACAAACAATGAAAATAAACAAACAAAAGTTATTTACCAAGACCTCTCTCAGATCAGAGGGTAAGAGATGGAGGGGAGATAAGAGGACTATTTATAGCCTGTCTTTGTGTAGGAAGTTGACCACACTAGAAATAATTCATTTAAAATTTATATTTTTTACATAGAATATTCAGTACATGACTGCAATTATAAAATATTGTGAATACAGTATTACCCCGCGGTGAGTGTCCGGCTCGAGACGCTATTTTTAGATTTGCCCCACCCGCCACCCTGCCTGACTGCCTGTTTTAGCTCATAAAATTCATACAAATTACCCGGCCAGAATATAATTTACATTGCTGGAATTCTTATAATTTGGTGATCATTTTGAATATAAACATCATATATTTTGCATTAGACATACAAATTGTAGATAAAATGTTTACTCTTGAGTAAATATGTTATCTTTTGTGCAAAATATATGACATTTATATTCAAAATATTCCTGGTCTTACAAGGAATCCAGCAATGTCAATTATATTATCCTAACTTTAGTTTGAGGTATTATTTATTACAAAAAAGTTAAGTATTCTGGTTTTCCCACACATCTCCTTGGGACGGTTGGTGGGGGGTGGGGGGGAGGGAGGGACCGACCGACCATCTGTTACCCTGTGAAGAATTTTTTTTTTTTTTATGAACTGAAGATATTTGTTTTAGCTCATAAAATTCATACAAATTACCCGGTCAGAATATAATTTACATTGCTGGAATTCTTATAATTTGATGATCATTTTGAATATAAACATCATATATTTTGCATTAGACATACAAATTTTAGATAAAATGTTTAATCTGAGTAAGTATGTTACCTTTTGTGCAAAATATATGACATTTATATTCAAAATATTCCTGGTCTTACAAGGAATCCAGCAATGTCAATTATATTATCCTAACTTTAATCTGAGGTATTATTTAATACAAAATGTTAAAATTTATTTTTTTCACCCACTCTTCTCTTGAAGGGAGGATTGGTGGGGGGTGGGGGGGAGGGTTGGGACTGACCGCGGTTGGAAGAGGGGGGAGGCAAGGTGGGGTACTTTGATTGACAGATAGTGTCTGAAGAATATTTTTTTTTTATTAACTGAAGATATTTGTTTTAGCTCATAAAATTCATACAAATTACCCGGCCAGAATATAATTTACATTGCTGGAATTCTTATAATTTGGTGATCATTTTGAATATAAACATCATATATTTTGCATTAGACATACAAATTTTAGATAAAATGTTTTCTCTAGTAACTATGTTATCTTTTGTGCAAAATATATGACATTTATATTCAAAATATTCCTGGTCTTACAAGGAATCCAGCAATGTCAATTGTATTATCCTAACTTTAGTTTGAGGTATTATTTATTAAAATTTAGTGGTTTTCCCCCAAAAATTTCTCAGAGAGGAAGAGCCGGCAGTGTAGTGTGAGAGGGGGAGGGAGTCGAGTCCATTATTTGAATGGACATTAACTTGGCGACTGTATTTCTCTATTTCTCTTAAGTATTAATTGTGTGCATGTACCATCATAAAATTAAGATTTTATTTTTACTACAACATAGTTATGTGTCTTCAAAAAGTGGAGTTTGGGGGTCGGGCCGGTTTCTATTGGAATTAATCCCATATGTTCTGTTGTTCACTTAACGCGGATTTCACTTAACACGGGACCCTCTGGG